TTAAACTTTATTGTAGCTCCATATTGATTTCAAATATTTATTTTTTTTCTTACTTGTTTTACATCAAAAGTTGTATTCTTATATAAAGCTTATTAATTATATTACAATTAAATTGTTTTATATATAATTGCATATCGATCTCCTAAAACTAGTTACTATAATGGAAAAACCAACCATGCCTAGGACTTTCACCAATAACATATCCATCAATGGAATCTTTGGGATAAGTTTACCTTAAGAGACTATTTAGTATGGGATAATTTTGTTGGGAATAATGACTCAAATCCTATAAGAGATTTGTTTAGGATTAGCTAAATATTGCTTGATGAACAAGAATACTTGTAGAAGAAGAATTCTAAGAGGACATTGATTTTTAATAGGCAAGTTTGACTTGCAGAAGAAGAATTCTAAGAGAAAAAGAATTTTTAATAGGCAAGTTTGTATGCTTATAAATAGGTGAAGTCTTTACAAGGTTAGGTATGAGAAAAAGATGTAAGAGAGTTATAGGATTTTATTGGATAGACACCTCATAAGACTATTGAGGATTTATGACTTATGAATACATATGTTTGAATGTTTATGAGTGGACTAGAGAAGACTGAGATGGTCCACATAGGTATCAATGCATGAATATATATGGGTATGTGTTTATTTTGGGTTGAGAATACTCTATAGGACTAGAAAAGATTAAGAGGGTCTTATGAGTATTGATTATTAAGTGAGGCTAATGATTTAATTGTGTGTTTGTAATTCTTTATAACTAATAGATCTTTTTTCTCATCCGTAGATGTAGGTTAGTTGGATTAAATCATGTTAAATTATTGTCTCTTGTGTGATGGATTAATTCTTTGATTTACTTTCGCTGGTGTGATTAGATTGGGGCCATTTGGCCCTAACAAGTGGTATCAGAGCTATGGTGATCCCTAACAAGTGGTATTAGAGCTAAAGGTTTAAGACGTGAAAAGAGCTGTAGGTTTGAGATGTGGTTTTAGAGCATGGTTCGAGCCATGGAAAGAGGTAAGTTCCAAAAGAGCTCGATTCAAGGAAGAAGTTCGAGTTTATATTTTGAAGATCAATTTTCATAAAGCGTGAAAACACACAAAAAAAGATTAAAAGGGTATGAGTGAATGAGTGTATATGGGTATGTGTCTATTTGGGTTGAAAATACTCTATAGGACTAGAAAAGATTAAAAGGGTTTTATGAGTATTGATTGTTAAGTGAGGTTGACGATTTGATTATATGTTTGTAATTTTCTATAACTAGTGGATCTTTTTTCTCATCTGTAGACGTAAGTTAGTTAGACTGAACCACGTTAAATTATTATCTCTTATACGATATATTAATTGTTTGATTTTATTTTTGCTGGTGTAATTAGACTGGGGCCATTTGGCCTAACAAGTGATATCAAAGCTGTGATGATCCCTAATAAATGATATCAGAGTTGAAGGTTCAAAACATGAGAAGAGCTGAAGGTTCGAGACATGGTTTTAAAGTATGGTTCAAGCCATAAAACATATAAGTCCAAAGAAGCTTAACTCAAGCAAAAAGTTTGAATTAGTATTTTGAAGATCAGTTTGCGTGAAACATGAAGACACACAAAAAAAGATGATTGTGAAACTTCCATTATAGGTAGAGCCAAGTACGTCTAGCATAAAGATAGATGATTTGATGGAATTTAAGTTAAGATAGAGATTATTGGGAATAATGACTAAAATTTTGTAAGAGATTTATTTGAAATTAGTTAAATATTGCTTGCTAGATAAGAAGACTCGTAAAAGAAGAATTCTAAGAGGAAAGAGATTCTTAATAAGCAAGTTTGTATGCTTATAAATAGGTGAAGTCTCTATAAGGTTAGGTATGAAAAAAAGATATAAGAGAGTTATAGAGTTTTATGAGATAGACACCCCATAGGACTATTAAAAATTTACGTTTTATGGGTATGTATGTTTAAATATTTGAGTAGACTATAGGAGACTGAGATGATCCACATAGGTATGAGTGCATAGTGTATATGGATATGTGTTTATTTGGGTTGAGAATACTCTATAAGACTAGAAGAGATTTAGAGGGTCTTATGAGTATTGATTATTAAGTGAGGTTGATGATTTAATTGTATGTTTGTAATCCTCTATAACTAGTAGATCTTTTTTCTCATCTATGGACGTAGGTTAGTTGGATCGAATCACGTTAAATTGTTATCTTTTGTGTAATAGATTAATTGTTTGATTTCATTTCCGCTGATGTAATTAGATTGGGATCATTTGGCCTAACAAATGGAATCAAAGCTGTGGTGATCTCTAACAAGTGGTATCAAAGTTGAAGAATCAAGACATAAAAAAGCTAAAGGTTCAAGACGTGGTTTTAAAGTATGGTTCAAGCCATGAGAAGAGGTAAGTCTAGAGGAGCTCGACTTAAGGAAGAAGTTCAAGTTCGTATTTTGAAGATTAATTTGCATGAAGCATGAAAACACACAAGAAACTATTATTGTGAAACTTCCATTGCAGGTGGAGCCAAGTATGTCTAGTATGAAAATAGATGATTTGATGAAATTTGAGTCAAGGTGGAGATTGTTAGGAATAATAACTTAAATCATATAAGAAATTTGTTTGAGATTAGCTAATTATTGCTTAATGGACAAGAATACTTGTAGAAGAAGAATTCTAAGATGACATGCATTTTTAATAGACAAGTTTGACTTATAGAAGAAGAATTCTAAGAGGAAAAGGATTCTTAATAGGCAAGTTTATATACTTATAAATTGGTAAAATCTTTATAAGGTTAGGTATGAAAAAAGATGTAAGAGAGTTATAGAGTTTTATGGGATAGACACCCTACAGGACTATTGGGGATTTACGTCTTATAAGTGTGTATGTTTGAATATTTATGAGTGGACTAGAGGAGACTAAGATGGTCCATATAGGTATGAGTACATGAGTGTATATGGGTATATGTTTATTTGGATTGAAAAACCTCCATAGGACTAAAGGAGATTAAGAGGGTCTTATGAATATTGATTTGTTAAGTGAGGTTGATGATTTGATTGTATGTTTGTAATTCTCTATAACTAGTGGATCTTTTTTCTCATCCATGGATGAAGGTTAGTTGGACCGAACCACATTAAATTTTTATCTCTTATGTGATGGATTAATTGTTTGATTTTATTTTCGCTAGTGTGATTAGATTAGGGCCATTTGACCTAACAAGTAGTATTAGAGCTATGGTAGTCCCTAACAAGTGGTATCAAAGCTGAAAGTTCAAGATATGAATAGAGCTAAAGGTTTGAGATGTGGTTTTAAAGCATGGTTTGAGCCATAAGAAAATGTAAGTCCAGAGGAGCTCGACTCAATGAAGAAATTCGAGTTCATATTTTAAAGATTAGTTTGCGTGAAGTATGAAAACACAAAAAAAAATAATTGTGAGACTTCCATTGTAGGTGGAGCCAAGTACGTCTAGCATGAAAATAGATGATTTGATGAAATTTGAGTCAAGGTGAGGATTGTTAAGAATAATGACTCAAATCCTATAAGAAATTTGTTTAGGATTAGTTAGATATTGCTTGATGGACAAGAAAACTTGTAGAAGAAAAATTCTAAGATGAATTTTTGAAAGGCAAGTTTAACTTGCAGAAAAAGAATTCTAAAAGGAAATGGATTCTTAATAGGCAAGTTTGTATGCTTATAAATAGATGAAGTCTCTACAAGATTAGGTATGAGAAAAAAACATAAAAGAGCTGTAAGATTTTATGGGATAGACACCCTATAAGACTACTGGGGATTTACATCTTATGGGTGTGTATGTTTGAATGTTTATAAGTAGACTAGAGGAGATTAAGATGATCTACATAGGTATGGGTGTATGAGTGTATATAGGATATAGGTATGTATTTGTTTGGGTTGAGAATACTCCATAGGACTAGAGGAGATTAAGAGTTTTATGAGTATTGATTGTTAAGTTAGGTTGATGATTTAATTGTATGTTTGTAATTCTCTATAACTACTGAATTTTTTTTTTAGCTGTAAATGTAGGTTAGTTGGACCAAATTACGTTAAATTGTTGTCTCTTGTATGATGAATTAATTATTTGATTTTGTTTCTGCTAGTGTGATTAGATTAGAACCATTTGGCCTAACAAATTTATCTAAAAGTCATTGTAATTTGTGTTAAGTAATTATATCACCTTATTTGGTAGTAAATTAAAAATCTTATGTGATAATGATTTTAAATCACTAGGATAATTAATCACTATCTTGAAAAGTGATATAATTCTTAATTTAAAGGATGAAAAAGTTTTATCATCATGAGAAAGTAATTTTTAATATCATTTTTGACTAAGTTACTGGAATGAAAAATGTATTTAACTTTTTTTTAGAAAGCTAAGTAGTAAAAATTTTCAAAAATCTATTTTTTAATAATTTATTTAAAAAAAGTTTTTTATTACAATTGAATAAATATTTATTGATTATAAAAATAATAAAATATTTAATAATTTTTTTAGAAATTATTTTTCATCAAAATTGAATTATATTTTATAGTTTTTTTTTATAAAATAACATTTAACTATTTTATAAATCATCAATTCAATAAGTATTAAAATTTTCTTTATTTTTGTGAGACTATTTTGGATATTTTATATTTTATAATTTATTTTTTATATAATATAAAATACAATAATTTAAAATCATTAATGATTTATAATATTATACCAACTATAATAATATGAAATCATCAATAATCAAATTATCTTAATAATTTTATCATCATAATAATTAAATCAATATGATAACCTTAAAAATAATATCAAACCCTACCAAAATTAATTAATCATGTCATGGCATGCAACATCCCGATGAAACAAGTCAGCCACTGAAAATGCTCCAGCTGACTCTACATACGCAGGAAAAGCCCAATAATGAGGGTAGCATATTTTGCCGTACGAAAATTTGCACACGGCACAACTTTTTGTAGAAATAAAAAAAAAAAATTTGTCCATAACTCAATTTATGAGTTGTGACAAAGGGCCATATGTGTACAAAATTTTGGTTGCAATTGAAGCCATGAAGCCGAAGTGCCTTGAGCAATCTCATTTCACATTCATCCATTCAATCATTGCCTTTGTGTCCCTTGGGAACCCATCACGCTACCTTATAAGTGCCCGAGGAGGACCTCCATCCCAGCCCAGCTTACCTCAAAAACATTCAAATGATAAGCTACTGTTATTTTGTAGAATTTTTTTGTCTGTCAAAGAAAATACTATATTATCGGAAAATGATAATCAATATTTTGAAGATTTTAAAGTAAAAAAAAGTGAGATATGTGTATTTACAGTACTCTTCAAGACCATGGTAGGGAAATATATTTACATGAGCTTTACAAGCTGAAATGGCTAGTCTAATACCTGAATCCAAGATCTACACAGGGTTGGACTAAAACTTTGAAATGTATTTCTGAGACATAGCCTACTGTTAAGACAAACTATATCAACATTTACATACACTAAGAAGAATAACCCGGTGAACGCTCAAGAACATGACTTTATCAAGCCCAGGTTGTAGAGAAACTTCTCCGATCTAGATTTGAACAGAGTACCCAAAGAGAATCTTCCACTCTCATGAGGTGGAGATTTTGAGTAAGCATCATCCTTGACGTGAAGTATAGTAAGGCCAATCTCTTTCCGAACTGCTTCAATTATTTCACTTTTCACTGGATTTCCTGATGTATCAGTCACATAAAAAGCATTGACAGCTTGGGAACCCCTGGTCGTAACCTCTGCTCGAGTGACTGAAAGACCATTTTCTCTAAATATACGAGTAACATCAGACAAAAGGCCTACCCTGTCTTCACTACAAAGTTCCAGTCTTATGCCCTACATCACAAACAACATACTAACATCAAAACAAAGTACTAGCAAAAAGAATCACAAACGAGAATGTAATCTAGATTTCCCCATCTCCATACCTCGGAAGCTCTCCTCTTAATAGCAGCCTCCAAACAATGAATTACCCTCTGTCTCTCTGCTTCTGAACTAATAGGGCAACCATCTATGTGCCTGATATAGTATTCCTATCAATCCAGAAAGTTAAACAAACAATAAATCAGATGCAAGATATCAATATCAATGAAATCAATTATAACCCTTGACAGCAAAGGAATTAATAAGCTATTGAAATTTAATAACATGGGGTTGACTTTGACTTGTAATTAACATAGAACATAATGAATCTGAAATAATTTGTAATTGTAACTTGAAGGAATTTGGGGCAACCTGATAAGCCTCTGGTCCTTCTGCTATGACAGTCGCATGGTATACCACATACTGCATATCTGTCAATGTGCAAACTGTATCAAAGAGTAACTTAGGCCGATCGGGGCACCTCAAGTTCACAACAGTGTACCCCTTATCTGCACAATTTTCCACAGTTACCAGAGGTTTGCACCTATCACTTGTTGATCTACTCTTAGCATCAATCATATCATAGTCACGATCAGCATACATCATCTGATGCAGCCTCCTTTCCTTATGTGTAGAGCCGACAGAAACAGCGGTATTAGCAGTCCTCTTATCTCTATCCCCTTTCAGAACATAGAGGAGAAGCTGCTTGATCTTTGTTAGTCTTTCAGGATTGTCAATTGATGATCCAGTAGCCTCATCAGTAATGTAAACAACAGATGCCATTCTTGAATTATGGGTCCACACTTCAGCAGCCACCACATTACATTTTAGGTCAGTCAAAACAGCAAAAACCTCTGAGAGCAAGCCTGGTCGGTCTCTCCCAGTCAATTCAATAGTTGTGTGTTCTAAGGCAGCTTGAACACCAACAGATCTTGTCAAGGACCGGAAGCTGTATTCTCTTGGTCCCAGTTGCTGCAATATGTCAATTTAATCATCAATACAATATGGAATTCAGATGACTCCTCATAGCATGTAGCTAAACCATCATAGTACAGACATAAGGCAAACGCTACTGCTATTTTGTCTGACAATTTTGTATCTTTTTGTTGATGCAAATATATGGGATGGTGATTATGCTAGAAGGCTAGATATCAAGTGATTGAAGCATGCAACCAGATAAGTACATAGCATGCATATTAATTCTGTATATTACAATTTTCAATTTGACTGACACTATTCCTTCCCTGACATTTGAACATTGTTAAAAGACATAAAAATATTCTTCTTTCCTGCTTGAACCTCACCCTTTTGGTTTCTTGATGATTTAGGAGGATATATATACATATCCAATGTAAATGCAGACAAATTAAGGCTAATTCTGTGAGTAAAAATTAAGGCAGGAGTGGAGCATAAAAAGGCTGAACTCAGACTAGAATACATAAAGTGGTACCAGCATGGTGTTACAAGTCTAGCAACTAGCACAACACTTGATTCCCCGCTCTAGTAAGAATGGGTGGAATGAACTCTTAAGTTTCTGTTAAAGTTAAATCTACCTGACCCTCAGTCTCAAACACCAATTTAAATTGAATATTCAGCCAAATATCCATATTTTCATGAGTTTTTTAAGATAAATCAATTAAAAAGATCAATGCTAGTTTTGGAGAAGTACCTGCTGAATTCTTTCAGCCACATCAACTTCAGATAGCTTATCGCCACGCTGATCTGTCACATGAAACACTGCAAGAACCATTTGAAGAAAAACCCCAATCAGAATCCATACAATTAAAACAGTTCATAATAAAAAGCCCAACACAACCAAGGGGCTAACCATCCATGAACCACTCCCCATCTGAAGCAATGTAAGCTCGTCGAATTATAAGATCCAAATCCGTCAAAACCTGAACCACCTCTAGCAGACTTCCTCTCTTATTAGCACTATCAACCTGTAACGTTTCCAAGAAACCAAACTTTATCTGACAATCCTCAACAATTGCTCGTGAAAATAAATACAAATCTTTAAAATTCAATCTGTTACCTTAATTAAAGTTGCTTTTCTGCTTGTGGCATTATCAACTGTAACCCTGCAGAGCCAACAACAAAAACAACGAAAATTCTTGAAACACCTCCATTCCAAGTCAATTAAAAATGGTACTTTTTCAAGAAAATAAACAAAAAGAAACCACTTTAATTACAAAAATCTAAGACTAGAAAATACCATGAAGGAGAATCCAACCCCCCAACCCAAATAGTCATGAACAGAGAATGAAAAACGAAGTACCTTGGAGGGTTCATTCGAATCACAAGCTTCTCAAACTCTTCATCCACCGTTAAAGAAGGAGACCAACAATCCATTGCGACGAAAAACAAGACAAAGAGATGCAAAAGAAAAAAAAAAAAGAAAGAAAAAAAACAGAGGAAAGAATTATAAATACGTGTCAAAGAGGCATAGAAATGGGGAGGGGGGGTTAGCCGTATTAATAATACTGTATTATCTTGTTCAAAATCAAAATCAAAATCAAAATCGAGTGAGTTTGTTAAGAGGAGCCTTTGGATTCTGAATCTGGTTATGGTTTGTGTGTGTTGTGCGGCGTGTCGAGAGTTTGTTGGGTAGTGGTGGCTCTTGAGTTGGACGAAGAGTTTTGTTGGGACATAACGTAACATACGATAACATTAACTAATAGCAAAACCATTCCACTCCAGTATATATAGTCAAAAATAAAGCCAATTTGACCACTGACCTCTCCTAGTATAATAATTACTTTATTATTATGAATAAATATATAACACAAAAAAGAGAAAGACAAAAAGGCAGCGCATTCCTCTAATACGGGCAGTCGCCGGCGAAAATGGCCCCCCGTTGCTCTCATCCAAACATTTGGTCGGCGCCCGTTTTTAGGTTTTGAATACTGTAGCTCGATTCTTGTGATATTAACTCATTCTAACATGATGAAAGCCTAACACCATACCCGCCCGCATCATACGCAACCTCTCGTACTTAAATCCTTAAAGGCACAACTCATATGTTGATCAGCAGCCAACCTAGAGTCACATTAAGCTCATCTCATTCCACGAAACTCATGTTTCAGGCTTCAACCTTAGTTTCATTTTAGGCTACCCACATGCATGATAGACATTTAACATCATATTCATCCTGCCTTTAAGGAACTCAAGTGTGCTACTGTTTATACCACACCTCTATTGATTAATCATAAAGGTCTAACAGCGTGTTTTGCCTGCTAGCTCACTCATCATTTAGGCTCGATGTGCCCTTTCTACACAAATACCATCTTTTGATCATTCTGGCTCGAGGAAAGGGAAATCGAGGGGCATAGCAAATGCTAGCGTCTAACCCCAAAGTTCAATGCAAAAGAGCGATACAAGGCCATCAACCCCAACCGTTCTTGGGTTTACCTGACTCGAGGAGATATAGTGCCATACTCATGACCCAATGGTGCTCGCCTACTTAGACACTACATATGCCTGAAAATAACCACTTTAGACTAGCTAAGCCTTCACTACCTGTTAACCAAGAAGGTGGTGGAGAGTTGACTTCAATTGTCCCCCTATAAAAGGCGTAATAGCTTTTCTAGCTCTTTTTACCAAGAACCGTAAGAATGTCTGAAATAGGACTATCTCAAGACTTTTCTTCGCCCAATTTAGGGCCCCGTGACCTTTCTCTTGGTCACTATAATTTTAGCATTTCATTCATTGTTCCATCAGCCCACTCAAGGGTGCCTGCACACAGCTTTTGACCGATAGCACCCGTCTACTAGCTCGCACTAACTTGCATATCTTGGGGCCTAGGGCTTACATTGCCTACACATAATATTAGCAACATGTTCTCGTGCTTAAAATGCTGGCACACAGCTCCAAGACCATTGTTCTTAATAATAAGGCCTCATCTAGCTACTCAACTTAGAGCCAATCATGACAGGATTAAGGCACACTAGGGCATGATCATGACACTCTCCCCATTTATTATGTCGATGTCCTCATCGATGCTAAGATTGCACCCAACTTTCTGGTTGCACACAGTTAGCATTTTCTCATATGTCTCTCACTTATGCCTCAAGGATTGGGTCGAGATCCTATAACATAAAGTATCACCCAAAGTAATAGTTCATTGCCGATGTAGATAGGTCTTATCCCAGCTCCAATGCACCTCTGTGCTATCTCCACATATGACTACTAGACTCAAACTGTTTTGCTTGATAAGTGCCATTGCACTGTTTCACCCATGATCACATCATGTTGGGACCTCGAGACACCCTCGTTGATCATGACCCTCAATCAAATAAATGACCATTTACTTTGACACACATTGTTATGCCCTGCTGGATGTGACCCATCACACCAACTGCACGCTTGCAGCATTAAATTTTTGATGCACCATTCTGGACGTAGTGCTTAGGTCAACCGCACTCATACAGCACCACCTACAATAGACCCTAGTATGATGGCATTCAAGCACTTCGGTCACCTCACAACTTGGGTGCTTTCGACCCTTCCAAGGTAAATTTTCTAGGTGTGGCCCTTTGGCCAACCACCCTTATGGAAAGCACTTTAACGCATGCTACTTGGTCTCTATCTCAAACTCAAACACAATGCTCAATAAACTCAGGCTCTACTACCTTAGCTCAATTCCATAGGGAAATCACAAGTCTCACCCACTTTGACTCGAACTTAACTCAATTTTGTACTCAACCATATATACATGATGGTTCCACAACTCGTTTACCTTGCTTCTTACATATCTCAAAGGGCAACTCAAAACCCACACAAAGCTCAAGGATCTATCGATCCAAACAATCACATTGTCCATTGACTTGCTTGACTCAAGGGTTCATCAACCCACTCAATTCTCAAGGTCCATTGACCTACTCGAACTTAAGGCCATCCCATAGACCGGCATTTACTCAAACTATCCCTTGTATGGCTTAATCACCATCGACTTATCCTTTGTCTTGCTCAAACTCGTTTAATCCGTTGACTAGATGCAACTTGAATGCCAATATCATCGGTTTACTTAAGTCAATAGGTCCTTTGATCAACACCACTCATAATGCCTTCTCTCTTAACCAACACAAAAACATGGTCCACTAGCTGGCATACTCTCGTGATCCTTTGACTATGAGAATTCTTAGTCTATTAACCGTCACAACTCACGGCTTCAATCCTTAGCCAACTCAAACTCTTCTACCTCTACAGAATGGCTTCATGCTTAGACCTAAATATTCAGCTCGTATCTTGTTAGGGCATTTACACCACATAAGAAGTGTATGCGTTAGTAATTAATCTCAATAAGCTCAACTTATGTCCTTTAAGACAAAACTTATTCAGCCTATATGGCTTCTTACAACACCATTCCATGGTGTATGCCCCTTTTGCATTACAGTTTCAATTACTGTCCACCACTTAAAGGGCATCACATGCCCGCATGAACCAACATCTTTTGCTAGGTGAGGCTATATTCTTATACCCTTTCGCTTGGCATCCAAAAGTCTACTTGAGTGCCCTTCACCTAGGTTAATTTTTCTTACAGCACATATTGATGGCTCCTTATCGAGCCTACATAGCATATTATCATAATTATGCCTTGAAAGCTTTTTTTGATCTTAGCATGTCTCTATTTTACGTTATCATGCCCACATATGGGGCTATGTTAGTCCCACTACTGAGCTGAACTAGGCTCTATACCAACGTGTCACTGGCTGTATGTTTCTTAGACTAAAACCACACGTCTGTGTAGTACTAAGATTATTTATAGTCAAGGTCAGCTTTTTATGAGTCTATTTTTCCATGAACAACTCGATATGGATCCTTCAAGCCATTTATTCGTGAGCCATTCTTGGCTTGACCCTATAAGGTTGCACATTCCTAAACTCAATAAAGAGAAACCCAAACCTCTTTAACTCTTGAGCACATGATTCTCAAGGTGGCCTCAATCACTCATCTTTGTCGTAGGCATTAAGATCCCGAGCGTCGACTCACCTAACTCATAAGGGCACACAATCACGATTCTTGTGATATTATCTCATTCTGGCATAGTGAGAACCCAACATCACACCCACCTGTATCATATGTAAGCTATCATGCCTAGATCTCAATGGCATAACTCAGATGTTGGTCAGCAGGCCACCCAAAGCCATACTAAGCTTATCTCATCCCACGAAACTCATATCTCAAGGCCTCAATGCTTAGCTTTATTCCAAGCTACCCACACGTATGACAGACACTTAACATCATGCCTATCCTTTAGAAAACTCGAGTGTGCTACCCGCTCGCACCACACCATTACCAATTGGCCACAAAAGTCTAACAGTGTGTCTGACTGCTAGCCTGCTCATCCTTTAGGTTCGATGGTGTCTCTTTTACACAAACACCATCTCATGATCCTTCTGGCTCAAAGAGAGAAAATCGAGAGGAATAACAAATGCTAGCATCTAACCCTATGGTTCAACGTAAAGGCGCGATACAAAGTTTACTGACCCTAACCATCCCTGGGTTTACCCTGACCCAAAAAGACACCATGCCTCACTCGTGACCTAATGATGCTTGCCTACCTAGACACCATATGTGCCTAAAAGTAACTTACTTCAAACTAATCAGGCCTCAACTACCCACTAACCAACAGGGTGGTGGAGAACTAACACCAATCGTCCCTTTATAAAAAGCATAAAAGCTTTTTTAGCCCTCATACCAAGAATCATAAAAATATATGAAATTGGGACATTTTTCTTTTTAGCCATCATAAGGCCTTTCTTCACCAAACTCAAGGCCTAGTGACCTTCCTCTTGGTCACCATAATTCCAACATTCAATTCGTTGCTCCACTAACTCACTCGAGGGTGCTTACACATGATTTCAACCAATAACATTTGATTGGCTAACCAGCTCTAGGGCGCCCACCCATTTAGCTAGCACTTGTCCTCGTATTTTGGGGCCTAGGGCTCACACTGTCCACACATAATATTGGCAACATGTTTTCATGCTTAAAATACCCATAAATAGCTCTAAGACCATTTCCTGACAACGAGACCTTGTTCGTTGCTCAACTCAAGATCAATCATGATAGGATTGAGACACATCAAGGCCTGTCCATGATATTGTGGCTATGTTATTTCGCAAGGACTTGGCAGCTCAGTGTTGCTCTTTCAATCTCTCTTTTTCGTTTTAAGGCTATTTTTATTAATCTCATTTTTGTTTTAGGATTCTGGGGGTTTTTAATTAGGGTTGCTGGGCCTGGGACAAGACCCTTGTTTACTTTCTTTTTGCTCAAATATCATCCAAAATTCTAGCAGGATTTTGCTGTGCTTTTAGGGTTATTAAAGTTAAAGTCAACAGAATTGATACGCCACTCATATGTCTCATGTATCACTAGTATAAAAGCAATCTGCTCCGGTTTGAATTTTAAGGTAACCCACTTAAAAGAGATATTTGATATAGAAAAAAGTAAAAATTTTTTGTTAAAATTTTTTTTTTAATTTAATTTTTTGAATTTGGTATACAAAATATAATTTTTGAGTTTTTTTAGAAATTTCGTATGATGTCAAAAAAGGGTAAGAGAACTAAAAACCCTTGTATATCTTAGGTTTTTTTAGATTTTGAAAGAAAAGTAAAATTTTTTTTTGTTTGACTTCACCTAATTATATTTTCGAATAATATAGATAAAGTTATTTATTTTAGAAATTTAATAAGTTTCATAAAATATTATGAAAATAATTTTTTCTTAATATATTTTAAACAGAGATTAAGTTTTTGAAATTAA